GGAGCAGGGTAGTGCGTTGAAGTGGCAGGCAACAGGTAGTTCAGGGTGTTTTCTGCGAGCAGATTTCCCCAATGTAGAGGAGACCACATTCTGCTCGCAAAAAAGATCCTGAACTACCTGTTGCCTGCCACTTCAATGCACCACCTTGCTCCCTGGCCAACACCTCTGTCTCCGGCTTGCTACAGTGTTCCAGTGAAGCCCAGCACAAGCTGGAGGAACAACACCTCATTTTCCGCTTGGGGACCCTACAGCCCTCCGGACTCAATATTGAGTTCAATAATTTTAGGGCCTAAACTCTCCCATGTCCCAGCACCCCACCCCACACACCAGGCCTTGAGAATGTTATTGAGATATTTTCAGTCTCTTTTCAATGTTTCTGCCTGGCCTGCTGTGTATTCTCAGAATTTATTTATTTTTATTTATGCTGCAATTTCTCCATCAGTCCTCCAAACCATTGGCTGTTCTAGTAGTTAAAACCTTCTTGCCACTACTATAATCTATATTTTTATTGTATTGTTTTCAAACTTTTACTTCTTATTCTCAGTCCACCTTCACATATCACATGTTTCTTACTGTCTTTTTGTTGCCCTGTACAAATTTGTCTCTTTTGCCTTTTGATCTCTTAGCCATTGTGGTAGAGGACTTGCCAACTCAGCTTAAACCTTGAAAGTGTTGCTTTTATTTGCTTTTTCTGTTACTCATAACAACCTCTAAGATTTCAGTTTGACTCATGTTCTTCTTTTCAAACATGGCATGTCAGTAAGATGTCTTCAACCAATTTGATTTTTCATTGCTTGCCTTACGTGTTCTTTTCTCTGACCATGTCCTGTTTTAGTTCCCCATTTATAGTTAGAGTTCAAGACAGACTTTGCTGCTGTTTGATTTTCTTGTGTCAGCCAGTTCTGTTTGTCTGCCCTCCCACTTAATATTTATAGAATTACTTAGCTTTTGCAGCACATGCACAGGCCATTCAGCCCAACAGGTCTGTACTAGGGCTTATATGTCACAAGGCCCACCTGTCACCTACACTCCACTTAGCCTATCAACATACTGTTCTATTTGTTTCTCCCACAAGTACTGATTTAGTTTCCCTCTAAATACATCCATAATATTTTCTTCAAACCACTCTCAGTAGTAGCAAGTTTCAAATTTTCATTACTCTCTGAATGAACTGATTTCATCTGATTCCCCATTTAATTATTTTGGTGAATATTTCATATGGACTATCTCATATCTAGTTTTATTTCCCCACAATTGGATAAAATTTCTCTGCATCTAGTTTGTCAAAACCATTCAGAAGTTTAAATGCATGTATTATGTCACCCTCTACCATCTGTTTACAAGCGAAAAGTGACCCAGCCTCTTTATCAGTTCTGATCTGAGTCTTGATTGTTAACTTCAGACTACTTGTTGACTTCAAGTTAAGAACTGATAGTCAGACAGGGACTGGCAGCTTTAATGAAATTGCACCCCCGTTAAAGTTGATAGATTTGATGAGGTGGAATGTGGCAGTCAACAATGGCCATGTCTGGAGATATTTCATTTTCAAAAGGGTTCACAGTATTGAATATTTCACTTGATTTCTGTTTTTTTTTTATTTATGTGTGATTATCCCATATTTCCCACCTGCTCCAGTGATTTTTTTTCTACATATTCTCTTTACACTTTTAAAATATCTTTTTCTT